GTACAAAAAAGGTTTGAAGATGCTCTCCCTCAGAATATTTACATCTATGATGAGACTAAGTTGCAAAATAATCCATGGAAAATCAAAATGCATTTTATAAGAGAAACAAAACATTCTGAGTGTGTCCAAAACTATCCAAAATAGGCCACATCCATAATAATTTGTAATTCTAATGATTGTACTCCAATCAAATTAAATTATTTCAATAAATTATTCTCAAATTTAAAAAAAATGCGATATCCATAGATTTTGCGTCTTAAATTATATTCAAACATGATGACTTATACATTTTCAAGTTTTTATGTTAACTCAATTTCTTTGCTGTTTTTCTTTTCTCAGAAATTGTATGCAGTAAGATTAGCATATTATTTTAATGAGGGGTAATATAAAAATCCACGAAATTTATCTACTTAAAAGTATTAATTTATGATGTTTCGTAAAATGGTTTGAGTTCTTCATAAAACTGCTACTTTTTATTTTTTTTTTTTAAAGTCAACAATAAAGCAAGACAGAAAATTTTTAAAAGTGACTTTTACACCAATGTAGTGGAAGTCAAATGGGGGGAGGGGAGAAAGAGATAGATCCCCATGACTTTTTTTCAATATTTATATTTTATGCACATTATATCTAATACTTACGAGTATAATGAAGGTATTCATTTATTTTTTAACTTTTTTTTTTCTAAAAACATAAATAATCTTCCATGGTAAATTTTTACAGTAGCCCTTATGCCTTACAAATATGTTATTTAGTATATTTTTATACATTGTGTCACTGTGTTTGGTATAATAATTATTATTATCTACTGCCTAGAATCATATCTATGTATCAGGATATTAGTATGATATATGTTTATTATTTAGATTTCTTTACAAAATATACGGGGATTACCTCGCCGATATTCGAGAATATTCGATAACAAGTAAAAATTAACATCCTTCTTTCCGTGCTTACGGATATCAATACGTATTCGTATTCCATATAGTAATTTCACCTTCTACTAAACAAATTGGAATATTTGGATATAATAATGATTTCTTTTTTACGTTCTATCACTGCATTATTGATTATTTCTGCTGATATTGAAGACTGTTTTTTCACACTGTTGAGTTAAATTATTGATGTTAAAACATCTTATACGGTGTTTTTATTTTTAAATATATTTAAAACTTAACATTTTTACATTTTTGTTTATACCTTATGTTATAGTAAAAAAAAAAAAAAACTAAATTATATTTACAATATTCATTATGTATTAAGGTAGATAGGTAGTATTTATTAGTTCTGCTATTTTAACGATCAACGAATAAATAAATATTTTATCTAACAATTTTTCACATTTCAAGTTATTATAAATTATAACTAAAACTGGTTCATTTATCAGGTTAAAAGTTCATATACCATTGATATAGCATTAATATGTACTGAATTATTTAAGAATTAAAGTTAATAAAATAAGTCAAATCACTTATTTGCTACGAGTTATATATTCAAAACAAAAAAAAACATTTTTTGACTTTTATTAATTCTTCATTATTTGTAATACAAATTAATAATACTGATAAATGAAATGAGATAAACCATGAAAACAAATTTTAATGATCAATTTGTGTATATATTCGGCCAATTGGTTTTAATGTTAGAAAGTAGGATAAAGTAGACTAAAAGTTAATTTTTTTAAAGGTTAACTCAGTTAAGTTAAAAGTTAATACACATTTTTTTTAAACTTTTTATTGAGTTAAAAAACTAAAGTTAAATTTTTTATACAACGCTCAATTCATTTTTACAAGCCCAAAATTAATTTATAAACTATGACTATAGTGTTTATTATACTTTATAAAAATACGGTATTTCCATACAGTATATTGTATTTCATTGAAGTTTTCATTTTTAAAAAAAGAACAAGTAAGTTATAAATAATAATTAATACGTAAAAAAGCTTAAAATAATGAATTAATAATATTTATGAGTGTGTGTTTGTAATAGAGTATTATTAGTATTATTGAGGTATTATTGAGTGTTTAATAATCGCAAGATATTTTATTAAATAAATAATTAAGTATTGAATACTTAGTGAAATACTAAAATATTAAAATCAGTTTAGCAGCTTAAATTGATATAATTTAATAATTATATATTTATAGTTTATACCCATTATATAAAGACTAACTTAAAATTATATATGAAATGAAAATATAATAAGTTGTAATAGTTGGATAATATTTTAACATATGCATTTATTTATATAGATAAACTTTATTAATTTATTAATTTATAATATAAGATCTTTTATTAGAAAATATTTTCTGATATATGTATACATGGTGTCCTTTAGTGTCCATAGTGATTGGAAAAATATAAAATATTTAATTTTCAACAATTCACGGTGAATATTTTTTACATAAAAACTAAATAGACTGAAATTGTGAAATATAAAAAATTAATAAAATAAATTATTTCTTAAAATGAAAAATGAATTCGTTAATTTCACGATAATTAAGAAATAAATTTAATAAGTTAATAGTGAAGTTAATAAAGATTCAAAAGTAACTAGTTAAGTTAAAAAGTTAAAATTAAATTAACTTTTCAACTTCACTTTAACTTTTTAACTCGTTATTGCCCAGCCTTGCCAAATACTCTATTGTATAGTAGAAGCAAGAGAATAGAATGAGTTGGATATGTTTGGAAGGTAAATAGAAAAATTATAAAATTAGTAACAGAAGGTAAAATTGTGGAGAAAAGGTCTAATAGAAGACCCCAAACCAGATGGAAAGCCTTCAGATACCCTAGGCTTTAGAAGAAGAATTGTAAATTTATATAATAAAATAACTTAATTTCTTGTTGTCATTATCACAAATTGTCGATGAATTTCATTTATATCGATTTTATATGCGTTTCGTTTGTGGAACATAATTCCTCGATCTAGTTTGTTTAAAATTTTAAAATTAAACATTTTTATCTTTGATTATAGTAGAATGATGTACAAAAATTGAAATTATATAAACAGAAACATACCAAAAAAAATTGTATTTAAATTATACTTTTAACAACTAATTGTGTTATACAAAAATCAAAGTTGAAACTCCCCATCCTAAAAAAGAAATTCCGCAATGTCACCGTTGCCAAAATTATGACCACACTCGTAATTATTGTAATCACTCCCCTTGATGTGTCCGTTGCGGTGAGCAACACCAGACAACAGCATGCTCAAAAGAACACAGCTCTCCAGCTAAATGCGCATCATGCAGTGGCAACCACTGGACCAACTTTAGGGGTTGTCAATTTCGTATGGATCTTAAAAAAAAATTATTAGAGAACCCTTCAAAAAAAATTTCGAATAAAAGTTCCATTCCACATCAACCAACACAAGTGATCACCCACGAAACTACGTACCAAGCTTACTCACAACATTTTCCCCCATTAAACCATGATTCTTCTTCTCATACTCAAGACACCAATTCCAATCAAAATCACAACAAAAATATGTCAGCTCAACTCTCATCATTTATCAATTAATTTAAAGCATTAATAAATCCTCTTATCTCACTTCTTACTACAGTCATTGATAAACTTATAAATAATGCCAACAAATAACTGACAACCACTCTCCATATTTCTATGGAACGCAAACGGCATCCTACAACATTTAAATGAATTACAACTAGTTCTAAATGAAAAAAAAAAAAATCATAATAGCAGTTTTTTCGGAAACTTACCTAATTAAAACCTTTTCACTTAAAATATTTGGTTACGATATTATTATAGCTGATCACCCAGATGATACCGCACATGAAGGTGCTGCTCTCTTCGTTTCTAATAAAATTGATCATCTACCCCTTCCACCATATCTGTCTACAAATATTCAAGCAGCAAACATATTAATAAAAATAAACTCTCAAACCATCTCCATCTTTTCATGCTTTTTTCCCCCAGGTAGACCTTTTTTCTCGGCTGAATTAGGTATTCTCATTCAAACTTTAAGCTTCACCCATATTATCGACGCTGACTTCAACGCCAAATACCAAACTTGGAGCCGCCACACCAACACCCGGGGCCGAGCTCTTCAAAATTTCATCTTGCTCAATCACCTCAAAATAATAGCACCTCTCTCTCCGACGTACTGGTCATCACACAACATCCGACACCCAAACAACCTTGACTTTTTCATCACTAATCTTCCTAATCATTTTTCCACCGCAATTGTAAATTTAAACGATCCGGCTTCTGATCATATACCTGTACTGCTGCTTATCGTAGTACAACCCTCTTTAAAGAAAAATAGACCTACCATTACTCCGGGATTTACAAACTGGAACAAATTCAAAATAAGTATCTCAAACAAATAATTCTTAATACCAAATTGAAATCATCTTCTGATGTCGATCAAGCAATTTCTAAACTCACTGATGACATTAAAAAATCAGCCAAGGACTCTTCTACCCAGATTTTTCCCTATCCTCAATCACCCAATCCTCTTCGAAATTAAGACAACTTACCGCTCAAAAACGTAGAGCCAAATCTAAATGGCAACAAACACACTACCCGGAGGACAAGATAAACTACAATTATCTTTCTAACAAACATAAGTATTTACTCAAAACTCACAAAACCAATCGGTACAAAAATCACATACAAAACCTTTCCTTTAAAAATGAATCTCTGTGGCGCAAAACAAAGTCAATTTTGCGGTTTAAGACAGGGCTTTGCACCCGAATTAACCCGAACCAGTAACATCCATAAAAACTTTGACCTAACCTAATCTTAACCTAATCAAAAAACCCTAACCCATCGCGAGGTATCACAAATGTGTGACTTCCTCTTCACGCGCAATTAAATGTTAATATCTGTAAATTATTAATATTACTTACCATATTGTATTACTGTATAGATTGTAATTATTCAAATAAAGCCAAATATTTAAAAAAAAAAAAACAACTAATTAGTATTTTTAATTTACTTGTATTAATATATAATTTAACCATTTCAATTTTTTTTTTCAGATTCTTAAGAACCATGTGATAAGTTGTATAATGTTATTCGTGGTATGTTTGCACACATCTACAAAATGATTAAGTAAGTACCTATTCTTAATTCTGTTTGTTTAAATTAAATTGTTATTCAAATTTAATCATGATAATTTTATATATATATTTTGATTTTTTATTTACTCGTATAAACTATAGTTATTAAGTATTACTTCTTATTTTAAGCTCAAAGAGTTTTTATATTCAATCAACATTTATTTTCATCTTGTATACTTTAATTATAAATTATTATTTTGATAAATAGAACTTAATGATAAACAAGAAGTTACTAGATGAGAATACTAGTTCATTAAATATATAGGTATTCAAAACGTAATTTATGTATTTTACAAAAAAAATTTCAATAGTCAAACAAAAGGTAATTATTATATGAAATGAGCTTGACAGTATTATTTTATAAAGCAGAACACAGTAGGTATGTATATCATATTTTACCTTAATGGTGGAGTGCGGTATAAAATACTAAAATAATTTGCTTATAAGGAAATCTAATATGTCAACTTTGTCAAGTCCATCTATAATGTATTGTATTATCTAATGACGAAAAATTATTTGAAAAATAAATATATATTTTTGAACATATATTATTTATGTATAAAATTATATGACATATAAGATAAAGAAAAATCTTGTGGTTTTAATTCATATTTATACCTCTGTTGTAATATTTTAAATGTTATTTTTAAATAATGAGGTACATAGACATGAATTACTGTGTTATTTTACAAACGCAATAGCAAATTAAAATATTATCATTGATAAAGTATAAAAACAAATAAAAAACAGTAGGAAATAATAATATTTGCATAGATAATTTATTTTTTTTATCATTCGAAATTTGTTCGAACAAATACAACTATGAAATAAGACAATTTTTTTGCAATTAATTGTTCACCCATTTTCATGAAACTTTAATGCATTTTGTAATTTCTGTTGTACTTTTTACTGAAAATAATAAAATGTTTACTGATTACTCATATTTATATAATTATAGTTTTGAACCGTTTTATTCGAAAGCATATTTTTATGTTAACCTATTTTCATGATGAACACATTATGCGCGTAAAATTGATTTTATCAGAATAAAATAATTTTTTCTCATTCTGATTGTTCGTTTTTTGTTATGTGTATGTATTTACTTTATGTGTTTGTTGTTATTTATATTAAATACTTTATTGGTAGCAAAGTACATAGATACACAGTTATAAAAATAATTTTTCATTTATAGTGCATTACACAGAGTACGATTTAAATTTCAAAATAATAAATTATTTTGCTAATTTATAATATCTTCATCAATTCAAAATATTAATATTCTGATCATCTTATCTTTTGGTGTAATAGTATTCGCAATCGTTTTCGAACGTACATGTAATTTCGATTGGTTGGAATATCAAAATAAACGTATGGAAGTTCACTAATGGCTTACCTCAACACAATATTGATTACAAAAGTTTCAGATGCTTTATTTGACAAGTCTGTTCTTGTCTATCATAGTGGGCACATGGTAAAAAATTATCTCTAATACAATGGTTCTTGCATGGAAAAGTTAAATGTAACATGAAAAGTTTTGTTTAAAGTTGTATTTTAATTTTGTAAAGTGTTTACATTGTATGTGTAATATTTTTCTCTGTATTCCATTTAAATATATTTGTACCACGCATTTTTTCTACCGTAAATATTTAACATGGTATTCTAATATTTAATAACAAAATAAATAACTACATTGCATGCTAAAATAATGTTGAATAAAACTAATTAAAATTCAATATTTAAATAATGAGCTGTATTTATTTTATTAGTTATATTTTTTAAATATGTTAATCAAAAAAAAAAAAACTAAACTGAAACATAAAAGAAAAGATTCACGAACATTATAACAAATAAATAACAATGTATATGAACCGTATAACCGTATAACCGTATAACCGTATAATTAATATTAATTTATAATGTATATATTATTATTATGGCTTATAGTTAATATACAGTACGATAAATTGAACAAAGCATAATTTTGAATGTAAGTTTTATCATGTTTCATAAATAATAATGACAAATCAATGTTATACAATCTAATTTGTATCTAAATCAGGGACTGGTATTTTGAAGAATTTTATGTTTCCGGTTCCTGTGCATTTCCAAGAAAAACTAAAATTTCATTATTGGTGTGATTTTGATTCTTAAAAAATGAAAAATTCGTCTCTAACTTTGATACTATATCTATGTAAGAAAATGGTTATTCTGTTTCGATTTTTTAAAAAAATATAATAAAATAAAATAAAGACACTATGTAGACAGCAACAAGAAAATAAAACCTAACAACGACAGAAATGTGTTAACCGCTCAGGCGTGGTGTACATCAGATGCTGATAGTCACAATCATAACATGCCTAGTTATTTATAAACATAATTTCTGAATTTATTGTTACTGTAGTACCTAGAAAAACTCTAGGTATAAATTACGTAATAAATAAAATGTCTTATTCTTTTTGCAATATCTATTACATTATTATCAATTATTACATAGAAATATATTTTGGTTATTATTTTAATCAAAATTATACTTGATAAATATTTTCACATTTAATATCAAATTAAAATACACACTTAACCAATTACAATAATTTTTTTTTCTTTTACCCAATAATTGGTAAAATTATTGTATAATGTCTAAATAGTAATCAACTTTGTATATATGCCTTTCAATGATTACATATAACTCTTACACAAATATTTTTAAATCTTGCAGGTTAATAAACCTACACAATTTAATGCATTTTATAAATGTAGTGAATAACAATATACTCGTATGTAAATAAATATGCATACAAATGAAACCCCTAAGGAAATAGCAAGAAAAAAAGATTTTAAATATAATTTTTTTTTTTAAATTAACCAAATTATTCGTGTTTATTCAATTTTTATTTAAGATCACTCAATTTTTTAAATTGTTCCCAAAATCAATATAGTTCTTTAATAAAATTACATTAAATTTCTTATTCAACAGAACAGTTGATGATTTTATTATATGTTTTTTTTTTTTTTTTTTTTACTGTATTACTGAGTAGAAGAAGTTTATATATTATATATATATTGGTTGGTCGTTAACTGATCTATCTGCCGTTTCCAATTTAGCTACTCTTTCAGTAAATAGTATTCAGATGATGCTTATTTGAGTATTTAGTAATTTACAACCACAGATTTTAACACTTAATTGAGTCTTAAAAATAATAGTCCTTTGAAACAAAGAAATATTAAATAATAAATAAACTGTATTGTATTATTATTACATTTAACAACTATATAGTTTTGATTTTCAATTATAATTCGGATCTTATGGTTAGTTTTACAATATAAAATCTATGTAGTTTAAATAATTATCAAAGGTCATTAAAACGAAAAATAAAACTTAAATTCAAAATACTTTTTATAATACTTAATTTCAATGTCGAGTAACATATAATTATGAATGAAAATATGTTCAACACAAATTTGGACCACCAAATAGTTCAGTATTATAACATTATTCAAATATTTTAGTGCAAAAAAGTTTTATAAATATATTATGTAAGACTATGAATACCATAATCCTTTACGTGATATATTTTTTAAATAATTGTTTGAATCACTTAATTTTTGGATAATTTTTCTTATTTAGTATAATGATATCTTTTAAAGATACCTTGGTTCCTGAAAAAAATTTTAAAAATATTTTAAAAGAAAGTAAGTTTTGTGACCTAGTAGTTTATTATAAAGTATCAAATTTATTAAGCCTACTTTTCCTTAGATATAGCTTTAGAGTCATATTCAATTATTCAAACTTATGATTAATGATTTTAAAGTTACTTAGCAAGAAAGTTACTATCGTGTTTGATGGAGTATTAAATAATAAATTTTATTAAGTTTGCATTCACTCAATAATGTTCAAATAAATATCAGGTACAATCTTTACATTTAATGAAGAAGTTTTATATTTTATGGTCCCTTAAAAAAATATCTATAAAATAATTTGACTTATTTATTTGTTAAACATTTTAATATAATAAAACACAATTCAAACGAAAATCGACTGACATAAAAATATGTTTATGTAAAAATATATAAGTTTTGAATGATATACAAATACATATAAAAATTTTTTTTTTTAATTTTAGTTTTTAGGTCGTGATACAATTTAGTACTTTTTATAAGTAATAAAACAGTCATATTAATAATATATTAATCAATTTGATGAAATAGGTAATAATATAATGCACGGTATTATAGTTATATTATACTCATGATAAGGTTGTAAAATTAAAACCTATACCTATTGATTATTCAACATATTATACATTTTTAATGTAATAATTTCTATTCAGTTTGTATTATGAATACTTTTAGTGAAAAAAGTTTTATTTCATACAATTTAATAGTAAATGTAGGTTGCAATTTAAAATATTTCATCAACAAAAAATTTCAAATTGATATGATGTTTATACGAAACAATAAAATTAAATACAATTAAGAAGTTAATTTAAATATTATCTTATGGAATAGTTTAATTTATTAGAATAAAATGTTTTAATAAAATATAACATAGATAATTTTATTTTTGTTGATTTATTATAATTATAACATATTACAGGTATATGTGACTTTTTCTTTAATGGATATTTTATTGTTCATCATAACATTTTTGTCAAAAGCTATGAAAATCGTAATTTTTTTATTTAAAAAAAAAAATGTATATGACAATTTTCATTTAGCTTAAAAAAGTTTATGCAAATGTGTTTTAAATTTTTATTATATGTTGTTTAATGATAATAATGATAAGCAATCAGTAAATCTTGTCAGTCAATGTTGGGTTAACAAATTTGCCACATGGGTGCAGATTTTAAGATTTTGCCCTTCAACCTCCTCCATAAACCAATATATATACACACAAAAAGTAATAAAGTAATAACATAGTTAATATTGTTTAATTAATATATATTTATAATCCTATTGTAACATTGGTAGTTTTTAAATTTCATCATCATCAGT